AGGTCATAGAGGTGATAAATAGAAAGTTAGATCGATGTCAGATGCCTACATGATACATAAATGGATAGAAGATAGATAAGATGACAGACAGATGGTAGATAGATAGATAGATAGATAGATAGATGATAGACAGATAGATTGATAGATGATAGATAGATGATAGAAGATAAATGATAGATAGATGACAGACAGATAGACAGACAGACAGATAGCTGACAGACAGACAGACAGATAGCTAGATAGATGATAGATAGATTAAGGATATGGACAGAGGAAGATAAGAGAAAAGGAATGACTGCTAAGCAGATGAAAAGATGGAAGACTGTAGGTGGGTGGATTGCTAAGTGGGTTGACAGATGCAAGCATAGGTGCTGGCTAGACACATGGATGGATGGTTGTATATAAGGGTGGGGATATGGATGGATAAGCAGGTATGTAAGGAGATAGTAAATGGATGATGGGTAGAGACAGGATGTTTGTGTAGACTGATGGGAAGGATAGACAGACAAAAACATGGTGCCAGAGGAGGAATAACTAGAGAAATGGAAGTTACAAGATAGATGTGTGGACCACTGAATAAGAGAATGGGCAATTTTGCCAAAACTCTAAAGGAACCATCAGAATTTGCAAGTTAACAATGAAGTACCTGCTGCAACCTCAGTTGCTTTTGTTTCAGGAGAAAAACTGCACAGTCTCCATCTGAACTCAGCCCCAACGTCTGTTGGGAACACTTATTCAGATTTATTCCTCCAATTCAGAGAATGGGGAATACACAAATCTAACACTAGAGACACAGTTTCAAAAAGAAGGTAATGGCTATGCATCTTTTTCCTACTGAGACCTCGGTCTCTCTCAGGAGACTGGCTGATGTTTGGGACAAGTTTTCTTTGGAAATGAAGAGCATGGACCAAGACCTAGATAGAATGAATTGATACATATTTGTAGGAGGCTCTTCTGGACCATGTTTCTTATAGTCTGAAAAACAAAAACACACATAAAGAAGCTGGGCATGGTCCCAAGGGCTTTAATCCCAGCATTTGAGAAGCAAAGGCAGGTGGATACCTGTGAGATCAAGGTCAGCATTACCTACATAGCACATTCCAGGCAAGCTGGGGCTATAGGGAGACGCTGTCTCAAAAAACAAAACAAAACAGAAAAACTAATCACCCCTAAATACATACATGTCAGGGGAAGGGGTCCATGGTCTCATACACCATACTTTGGTCCATCACCTTCCCTTCTACTCTAAATCTATTTATCCAGTCAGTAGACCATTCATTGTGTGTGACACTTCATTTATACTTGAAAAATACAGTGTTGAACTTAATAGTCTGTGTCTCATTGTGGTTTACACTGGACAAGGCACAATTTATTTCTTCCTTGTATCAGACATAAAGTCTAGCTTCTATTAAATGTTCAGTGAATGCTGAGTAGCTAACAAAATGAAGCATTTAAGAAATGATTGTTAAGGCTGGAGAGATGGCTCAGTGGTTAAAAGTACTGGCTGTTCTTCCAGAAGACCAGGATCGGTTTCCAGCACCCACACAGAAGCTAACACCTGTCCTTAACCCCAGTTCCAGGGAACTTGATGCCTTCTTTTGCCTCCATGGACACCAGGGATGCATGTAATGTGGTTACATACATATAGGAAAAGCACTCATAAAATAAAAAATAAAATAAGCTCTATTCCATTCTTCTCACCAACCCCCAACCTATTCCTCTGCCAGTCTTGGACTCAGGCAGGCTCCAGTTTCCTCCGCCTCAGATTTCTGGATTAGCTTCCTAAACATCTGACCAGCCTACCTACTACCCTGTCCCACCACTAACCCAGACCAGCGTACTACTCTGCAAGAACCCGAAACACACACCAATGTACTTTTCATACCTGAACAAAAAGCAACCAAGCTACATAGATGATATAAACAGAACCAAAATTAATTGAACATAAGCAGAGTAGAAGTTCCTGCTGGACACATAACCGACGAAGAACATTGATATGCCCAAACAGCAGTGCAGAAACACAAATAATATGAAAAAAACAAGAGAATAATGCCCCCCCAAAAACCCACTAGTCCTACAGAAATACATCACAATGAGAACCACCCTGAGGAACCCAATGGTGCAGAATTTAAAAGAACAATCAAAAATATAATCAACTTTAAGAAAAAAACAAAGACAACTTATGATGAAGCTCAAGAAATATGTGTCTTAGTGAAATATCGAAAACAATTCATGACTTGAAAAGTGAATTCCATAAAAAGATAGAAATATGAAGAAAACCCAAATGGAAATGAACATGGGATTAAAAAACTCAATAAGCCAAATGGAAACAGCAGGAGAAAGATTCACAAGCAAAATGAATGAAATGGAAATCAGAATATCAAGATTCAATGACAAAGTTGAAGATCTGAACTCCATAAGCAAAGGCTATGTAAAAATTTTAAAAGCACAGGAATAGAATATTCAGGAAATGTGGGACAACATGGAAACACCAAATCTATGAATTGTCGGCATACAAGGAGAAGAATCTCATAGCAATGGCATTGAACATATCAACAGGATTATAGAAGAAAACATCCCTAAATTACCTATAGAGAATCAAGAAGCACATAGAACAACAATTACATATGATCAGAACAGAAACTCCCCACAGCATATCATAATAAAGTACCAAATGTACAGAACAAAGAGAGGATACTGAAAGCTTCTATAGAGAAGGAACAAGTTACATAAAAAGGAAAAATCCATCATAATTACAGCTGAATTTTCAATGCAAACTATGAAAGGCAGTAGAGCCTGGACTAAAGTACTGCCAGTTTTAAACAACCATGGATGCCAACCCCCAACACTTTATCCAGCAAAACTATCTATCATGGTCGAAGGGGAATGGAAAATTTTTCATGAGTAGGCTGGAAGAATTCACAGTCACCAAACCAGCCCTACAAGAGAATGCTTGAAACAATACAAAGGATTGAAGAAAGGAAGGCGCGTACCCAAGAGGCTACAGAAAGAAAACAAAGAAAGGTCTAAAAATGGAAACACAAAATAGGGCCACAAACACAAAGAAATTAAAATGACAGTATCCAATACACATTTTTCAATAATAACACTAAATACCAATGACCTCAACTCCCCTGTCAAAAGACACAGGCTAGTGGAATGGATCAAGAAAAAAAGCACATCTTTTCGGTTGTCTTTAAGAAACTCATTTCACCTTCAAGGATAGGCACTACCTTAGAGTGAAAGGGTGGAAAAAATTATTCCAAGAAAATGGCCCTAAAAAGTGAGCAGGTGTTGCAATTCTAATATCTGACAAAATAGACTTCCAATTAAAACTAATAAAAAGAGATAAAGAGGGTTACTTCATTCTAATCAAAGGAACAATTGACCAAGAATATATTACAATCATGAATATTTATGCACCAATCTCTGCAGCACCCAACTTCATAAAAACAGAACTCCTGGACTATAAAACAGAGAATAACCCCAACTCGTTAATAGTAGGTGACTTTACTACCCTGCTATCTTCAATAGTCAGATCAACTGGACAAAGAATAAACAGAGAGACATCTGAATTAAATGACCTCTTACATGAAATAGACCTAACAGACATCTACAGATATTCCATCCAAGCACCAAAGAAAACACTTTCTACTCAGCAGCCCTTGTGACTTATTCTGAAATTGACCATATCTGGGGCACAAAAAAATTTTCAAAAAATACAAAGATTTGAAATAATTCCATGCTTTCTATCAGACCACAGTGCAATAAACCTTATAATCAACAGCAAAAGAAGCTCTAGCAACTACACAAACTCGTGGAGATTAAACAACACATGATGAATGGGTCAGAGAAGAAATCAAAGTATGCCTGGTACAAAATGAAAATGAGAACACAAAGCAACACAACCTCTGGGTCACTTTCAAAGCAGTCCTAAGAAGGAAGCTCTTAATGCGTACATTAAAAAATCAGAAGAGCCCATGTAAAAAACTTGACAGCACAGCTCAAGACTCTGAAAAGACAAGAATAAACCAGCTCCAAAGCTAGTAGATTAA